CCCGTCCGCAAGTATGCAATAAACTAAATGTATATTTCAGGCACCCTGTAACTCCACGAGAATAGTCAAGGATGGGTTGCTCCCTCCAATTCAAAGGGACGGAGTGTAAAGCCATTGAAAATGACACACGCGTTTCCCACCAATCTACTACGGTGTCTCCCGAGAATCGTCGTCACACCAAACACCCCCACGAATGAGCTTTATAGTTGAAACGGCATCTTTTTGGCTTCGCCTCTACACCGAACCATCCTAAACTTCTAAAAAACTCTTCAGTATCCCGCAGCCCAATGCACACTTTTGAGCCGTCGTCTCGCCCCCAATGACATGCTCTGGTTAAGTCGTTACTGGCCATGTCATTCTGGATCCTTCTTTTTTTTCCCCTGGAATTGTCAACTATCGCTCTCCGCCTGTTCAACACACAGAATTGTGATTTTCTAATGGATGTGGAGAAAGGACATGGAATATTGCCCTCTACGATCCTTCTCGGTCGCCCGGAGTTTAACGAATGATCATCCGGATGATTTAATTCACCGTTGCTACATTTTGGTACATATTTGTGTTAATGATATACCTGGTATTTTTTGTACTCAATAAATGTTTAGCACGCAACTACGGTACCAGGGTTGAGAACTTGGAGAATTATATCTGCTACAATTGAGAACTACACATATGAAAACTGCTACAAATAACGACTCTAATACGTAGTTCAAGATCTAAATTTTTCAGAAAAATAGTTCGAAAACACCTCTTTCTTACCAATATTTTAAAAATTTCCAAAAAAATAATTTTAAGACATGTTTTCAGCTAGTTTCTCGAGTTCTTATCTGTAGTAGTTCTCATTTAAACGGTTCTCATATGTGCAATTCTCAAGTATAGCAGTTCTTATTCTCCGAGTTCTCAACCCTGGTGCCACCGCAAATGTAGTATTCCTTATTCCCCTTCTTCACCAATAACACACAACCTCGCTGCGTACACTTGCTGCGTAGCAAATGTGCTGTATGCATAATGGCTGGTACCCTTCGTCTGACGAATCGATATGTGTCTAGGAGACTGACACACGAAGCACGGGACGAATGTCTGGCTTCTCATCTCTTTCCACACACCCTTACATTTTGTTTATACTATACTATTCTCTTCTCTTCTGGGTCTCTCCAATATCGATCGGTGTAGAAACAAAAGGTCGGCCTCGTCATTGCGCTCGCGGCTTGTATTGAGGTTTCATTTCTCCTATCGATCGTTCTGTTACATGGAAGATTCTAGAAAGAAATATTTTTTTGTTCATCTTTTTTCCCTCTCTTGGAATAAGAAACAGTAAAAATTATACTGTATAATTCCAACTATGAGATCTTCGTTAACCTTATTTTCTTCTTCTTCTTCTCCTTCTGAAGTTATCCATTTTCCTAATATATTTTATTTCAGACAAACGGTCTCATCCTATGGGAGGAACCTATCGAGCTTGGCTCGATGGTAAGTGAAGACTTTCTCAAGTCCAGCTGAAGGTATATCAGTTTTTAGAGCGTTTGCAACATGGTCTATGACCATGAAGACTCTGCCAGGACCATCCAGGAACGGAACCTGTCCTGCAGCACTTGCATCAACTTCTCAATTGGCTTCAAAGTTCGAGAATCGGACGTGGCTGATGGTTAGGTTGTCGTCGCTCAAACAACTTCATTTTTTCCCACCAAATTTGATTGGAGATGATCCCTAAAATGAATGGAGTCTCTGGAACAAATGAAGTTACCCAAAGAAATGGCAGATTTCCAAAGTTCGGGACTACGAACGGAGCCGTACATTTTGCCCCACGCAAAACAAGAACAGTTCAGGCGCAAAACTCAATTGAAGATAAACGAATGGTCATTCAATTGGGGACCACCAACTTCTTCTCTTGTTATTCCGAAAGGAAACTTAGCGTAGTTACCTGAAGGACAAGTCTTCCATTCACTTCAATCATGAATAGGAAGCGTACTTGAGATGAAAAAAGAAACCCATCGAGAAACTCTGACAGAATGAGATTCGGATGGTTCTTACTGTGAGTTTAGTGCAGTTCGCGAGTTGATTCAATGAAAGATTTTTTAGGTTACTCTTCTTCAAAAGTCGAGTTGAGTTCTGTATGGATACATATTTTGACAAACCACAAGTCAACATCAGCCCGCAGAAGAACCTTGTTCATAACAAGGCGATGCTTTTCTCGACATGTAAGTCAATAATCAAGATGTATATCCTACAAAGCAAACATCTTTCAGCTAACGATGCTCGGGATGAGCAATTCAAATCTGGATAAAACTAAATATCCAGGAAATTGTAGTCAACGAGCTACTTTTTTCGCCCATCAGCACATGTCGCTGACACTCAACAAAGTTGGTCATCTTACCAACAACAAGAACCGTTATACCGACGGGGAAGCATGAAAGCTCCCAGGCTTTCTACTCCAGGACTCGTAATCGAAAACGAGCAAACTTTGAAAATGTTCACAACGGGTAGGACTAGATCAGATCTATTTAAGTTTCGAAATTCTCTAATTTCAGAACATAAGTGAGCGGAAGACGGGAACCGAGGGACGCAATCATCAAAGGGAAAAGAAGAACACAAACTGTTGCCTTCGACGCCGACGCCGACGCTGTGACGTTCCAGGAATCGTCATTATGGGACCTCTCACAGACCAGAAGAGACATCGGGAACGTCCGAGAATTGGACCCAGATGTTCTCCAATAACCAGTCAATCAATTTGGAATGGACAAATGAATACACCATCTCCCCCTTAAAAAATGACACGATCGGAAAATCAATCTGGAAGCGATTGATTATTCCGGCTTGAGTTCGACTGAAAGTCTGGAAACCAGAGCTGTGGACTCACACAACAACCCCCGATTCCCAGTGGCTAATCGATGCTTCGACTGGGATGGACATTGGAAAAGGAGATTAACGAAGGGTCATCCTTTCCACACACACACACACAAGGAAGACATCACTTCCTGAACACTGGAAGGCAACACTTCCTGTTCTTCTTTGGATCACATCCGATCCCTACATGGTCTCCTGGACAGACACAATGGTCCAGGAGACTCAAAAATTGAACACAACCGTTCAACAAGCCTTTGCATCCCGATTGGGTGAGTTAGATTATCGAAATAGAGTCGAATTCGAATTATTCCCGTTTCAGAACAGGCAAAACCAGTTTCTGTGTGAGTAGCGATGCTCAAAAAACAAGGAACAATCCGATCGATGCGTCGATGATCCACGTTTGTGAGAATTGGCCGGATTTGGATACTCGGCAGAATCAAATGTTCAACAATGCTCCACACAATTTCTACCCTTTGTTTGTACTGGAACACCTTTTCAGGGTAATATTCCTGAAAAGGTATCGACACGAAAAATTGGAGGTCTCCCTTCGAAACAAACTGCCAAAAAACTTGGAGCCAGCCACGTGGCCCAGAAACCAGAAACCGGGAAAATTCTGAGGCCCCGGTTCGCCCGTTCCACGAAAAGACGTTTCCACTATGGGGAAGTAAGCTTCTGGAACTGAGCTTTTTCACTAAAGGCTGACTGCCTCGATTACTACCCAGAACAGGCTTTTGAGTCCAAATGACGATGATGATGATGACGATATTTTGATTGTACAAGTTGAAGAAATATATAATTTT